TGAAGCGAAATATAAAATAAGAGAAAAAGTAAATAATTGGTAATTATTAAAAAATAATAAATAAAAAAAAATAACAATAAATCTTTAATACTATCTTTTAGCACTTTTACTACGTTAGACTCGGATACTTTATTAACACAAAGATCTAAGGAAGTAGAAGCAGCATTTGCAAAATTTATCTCTTTCATTAGATTATTTGAAAGATTTGAAGTGTCATACTGACGAGGAATAATTGATGTCAATTTGTTTAATCTTAACCCTAAAGTAGTTTTGTGATTTTTAACCAGGGCTTTTGCTAATATCATTATTTTGTTAAAATCGTATTGTTCTTTAGTAACAAAAACATCCAAAGAGGTTAAAGTGCTATTTTTACAAAGTGCATCTGCCAATACTTGTACTTCATTATAACCAAATTGATTAAATGAAAGATTCAGATAAGTTAAAGCATTGTTTTCACAAAGAGCATTTGCTAATTCTTTTATTCCTTCAAAGCCAATTTTATTTGATGAAAGATCCAATAAAGCTATAGTGTTGTTTTTGCAAAGTGCATTTGCTAACACTTTTTCTCCCTCAGAACCAAGTTCACAATGACTAAGATCTAAAGAAATCAATGTAGTGTTTCTGCAAAGAGTATTTTCTAATGCTTTCCCACCTTTTAAACCAAGATTATTATATGAAAGATTTAAAGAAATTAATGTGCGATTTTCACAAAGAGCTTCTGCAAATGCTTTTATTTCATTATAACTAAGCTGATTATTTTTAAGATCCAAGAATGTTAAGGTGTTATTATTGAAGAGAACATTCGCTAATTTCACACCATCAAAGCCAATCCAATTAGATGAAATAATTAGAGAAGTTAACGAAGTGTTTTTACAAAGAGCGTTTGCGAATTTTTTCCAAAACTTAGGGCCAAGATTATTAAAGTGAAGGTTTAAAGAAGTTAAAGTTTTGCTTTCATAAAGAGCTTCTGCTATTGCATTTTTGCTCTTAGTATTAAGTTGATAAAGATTGTTAAATCCACTTAAATCTAATTCTTTAAGAAACTTAATTTTTCGTAGGAACATTATAGCCAAAAAATTGGCAATTTCAAATTTAAGAGAATTGTATTCTTCAAATCCTTTATAATTAAACCAATCTTTTACACCCTCATTTAAATCAAAAACTGAAAATTTTTTTATATAATTTAAATATTCAAATAATGGTGTCTTCGAATTACTTGGAACTGAAAATATCGATAAAAGATGCTGCACTACTTGTTTATTTTTTAACTCTGAAAGGCAAAGTGCCTGCTCATCTGCATTTAATTCTGAAAGACATATTTTAATAAGCTTTCTATCTTTAAGATTAGGCTCCTTCCATAATATTGGCATAGTGATTCTACACCACTGACGATTTACAAGAAGATATGAAAACAAGCTTCCATAATCTTTTTGGAGGCATTCAAGTATTTTGATAAAGCATTTAATTGGTAGAGATATAATTTTAAATTTTTGTAATGAGTCAAGGTTTTGATTCTTCAGCATCGAACAGAACCCCTATTTATATCATTTGGAATAAATATGTACTATTATTAGAATATAAATTAATAATATATGATTTACTATCAATTCTGTATAACCATTCGGTCAAAGAAAATATATAAGTGACGCGTAAGGATCCATCTCTTTGTTTCAGCAGTGTTCATTGTGAAATAACATTTCATAAATATTATAGGCAAAAATTTTCTAAAATAGTTTTGCCTTAACCATTTTTGTTCCTTACAAGATTATTACTCTTGTTGATAAATTAGAATTCCATTTACGAAAATATTCTAAAATTAGCAACAGACAACGGTAAATATGTTTTTACAAATGATATCTCAGTTTATTAATTCGATAATTATACGTTTACTTTAAGTAAATAGTTCATAACTTTAGTTGTGAATGTTCAATAATTGTTTAACATGTGATGTATTACAAACATACAGCACGTGAAACGTTCCTATTGGTAAAAAATGCGTACTAATTAAATATCTATCAGGCCTTTTATTTTTACACAAAAAAGATCTGCTAATTCAATTTTATAATAAAATTATTATAAAAAAAATCTGGATATCCGTAATTTTTAAATAGGAAAACGGAGCATAGATATTGGAATGGTAGTAATGAATGTAAGGATCGAATTTTTTATTTCTTCTGATTATCGAATAAAGACCCTTAATTACTAGAAATTTTCTTTTATAATTTATTTGAAAATTCATTACTAATACAAATTACATTAATGCGTAAGTAACAATTTTCTTTGTTTCATATTATCAATATGGTTAACTATTCAGATAAAAGACCATATACACATAATAACAAAGACATCTCATTCAAAATATGAAATTAATACAAACTACGTTAACGCCTTGTGTTATTTATTACTTAGCGATAGATGTGAACCGAATATTTAACAGATAATATAAATAATCTATTGGTTACTTTAAACCGATGAATTTAATATTATTTAAAATTTACGGGTCGCATCACATCACTACATAGTGACACGTTTTTTGCAAATAAAATTCTTATTTATCGATAAAAGTGTTCATCTTGTAAGCAACAAAAATGGCTAACATTTATCCGTTTGGGAAACATATTTCCGTATTATTTTCAGAAAATTTTCGCATATAGAATTCTAATTGAATTTATCAACAAATTTATTAGTAAGAAACAAAACTAGCTAAGGCCGAACTGTAATAAAAATAATATTGATTTAATGTCAAAATTCTTTATCCGAATGGTTAATTTTGTACTATAATTGAAATTCTTATGCGGAAACTGTGCATTTTTTGGGAATATGGTCAAACATATTAATACTTGCGTCATTTTCTACTATTAATAAAACATGTAACAGTAATTATTCTTGAGAAAATTCTTGAAACAATAAAATATATAATATTATACACCCAACAAAGGCATAGAGTATGGTCGTGAGTCTTATAACTCCGCTAAATGAGCTTTGTGGTTCAATAAATGACACATAAACGTAATCCAAATAGAAATTCTATGGAAGTTATTCTATGAAATCAAAAAGAAATTTAAAATAAACATCTGTTATTCATTATTATAACTTCCATGTATAGAATTCTAAATGAAATTTAAATATCGGTGTATAATTCTGTTTCTAATGAGTTTTTATTGTAAAAGTTCTTTTGCCCGAATGGTTAATTTCTGTACTAACATTTGAATTTATACAGACAACAGTTAAAATATGTTTATAAATAGTGAAACAAAGAAACACCTACAAGAGGTTAATTTAAATTTTATTTAGAATTCTATACGTGGAAGTTAGAAGTTTTTGTAAGAAAAATTATGAGTTCTTTTCAAGACACTGATTTTCATAGAATTACGTTTACGTTTACGCGTCATTTATAGAACCGCAATTTATTTAGTAAAGCTATAAGACTCCAAACTATTTTTGCTAACTTTTGTAGCACCTGACTCATTTATTTGATTCAAGAATTTACTCATGAAGGTTGGAGAACGATTAATGTTACATGTTTTGTTAATAATCATAAGAAAATGACGCGTATGTATTCCCAAAGAATACACAGTTTTCGTGTAAGAGAATTTCATTTATACACAAAAATTAGCCATTCGGATAAAGAATTTTAAAATTTCTAATTTACAAAGATTGAAAGACTAACCATTTTGTATACTGACACGTGATGTAATACAAAGGTGAAATATTCCGATTGGTGAAAAACGCATCACTATATTACAGTAGTTTGAATGAAAATCTCTGTTACTTATGTATACTATCTTTGCCTGATGGTTAACCACATGAAACAAAAAAAATTGGTACTTATGCGCGTTAACATAATTTGTATTGGCAATAAATTTTTAAATAAAAGAATTACTTCTTACCTTTTATCCGAAAGAAATAACGTGGGAATAAAGAAAATTCGATTCTTACATCGTCTTTGTCTAAATGGTTAACTTGGTTTTAACCCTTACAAATAAATTTTTGTAATAAGAACAATGATTAATATTAAAATTCTTTGTACTTTACTGCAAAAGGTCTTTTGTCTGAATGGCTAATTTTTTTGCACTATATAGTTACTATAATAAATTCAAATATGCGAAAATAATACGGAAATATGTTTTTCAATGATGTCAAAAGAATGTTAATTTTCTTGTGAGTGGTTCTTTTATTCGAATGATTATTGAGATAATCTAATTTGTATTAATAATATGCAATATTTTTGAGATATTTAAAGAACGAATGTCTTGTTGCTAAGGTCTTTTATTCGAATGTTTAATCATAAGATACACACAACGAGAAACAAAGATTAACCTCGTTACTAATTAATTATTTCATCTTCTTGAGTAAATTCTTGAAACAAAGAAATCAGCCTTTGCACCTTATTACAAAAGGTCTTCTGTCTGAATGGTTAATCTTAAATTTTTGTGAATATATAAAAAAATATAAAAGGCACGCCTATCTCCCAGACTCTGCAAAAGCTATAAAGAAAGATATTTAACTCAAACTAAAATGCCATCACAATATACTCAAAAAAAAAAACCGCGCAAATACGAATTCTGTAACAAACGAAATTTATCAATATGCCATAAAAATGTGCCTTTTTGTCCGGTCTTGGTCATGAAACAGTGGTTGAAACTTAAAAATTCAACCCATCAAATTTTACAAAATGTAGAAAGAAACAGTGTAATTAAGAAGCATGAAATTCATCAATACGTTAGAAATATTTGTAATGAATGTCAACATTTACTTCAAAAAATTTGCTTAGTAAAAGATGAAGACTATTTACCAGAAGAAGAAGAAGCATTCAAAACAGCAATTATAAAAGCTCAATTAATTAAAAGTTGAAATAATATTTTTCAAGCGGTTGTAGAAATACAATAATAAATCAAAATAAGTTAAAGATTAGAAACTTAATATCAATTCCTAAACCATTGACAAGTTCCCAAGTTAAAAGAAATGTGAAAGATCCTCATCAGTCGTTCCAGCAACAATAACATTGATTTTTAAAAATAAAGACAAAATTCTTCTAAAAAAATTTACATTTTATGCTTTATATTTAAAACAATCGTGTTCAATTGAGTAATCAACCACCACTATCATACCTAGAGATGGACAAATCGCAGTTTTTTTAAAAATCCTGCGGGATAAGATTACAAATCTGCGGGTTTCTTAATTTTGTGTCCGATAAAAAACCATGCAAAAATTATTATTGAAAATCAAATTTCTTGTTCTTCCTAAAATCTGAAACAGGGGCATTATAATTATTTCAAATTTGGCCTGAATTAAGCTTAATTCTGGCTAAAGTTCGAAATAATGCTCATGCTCACTAGAGAATTTACGATTAATTTGTTAATACAGGCCAGGTATTATTAATGCCAGCCATATGATATGGTAATGCCAGCCAAATAATTTTATTTGGAATCATATTGATAATCACGTGCGAGACCTGTTCTAATCGCAATTATATTCGAATGGAAAAAGAACTCATGTATATTAAAAAAGTATAGTATATGAATGAATTAACCACTCAAATGTGCAAGAATATTTTGTTCAAAATTGTTTAAACGATTATGCGAAAATCTATGATACTTTAAATTTAGTGCAGGATTTTAAGGGTAGGGTGAAGGATCTACATTTCTAATAGCAATTACGTTGCTAAATTTTTTTACAATAACATTCAATT